ATCTCAGGAACTTGATAATCCAGTTGAGCACCTGTAGAATTGAAGTATGCAGATTTTATGGGTTTCCCATAGCTATGCCATGCATCACAGTCTAAATAATAGGTTAAAGAAATGCATGAGGCTAAGACTAAAGAAATGCATGAGCTAAGACTAAGGTTGAACTGGATTTAACTCAATTTATGTTATGATTTATCATTTATATTAAGAGTTGACATAGTTAATTAAACATAATAGGACTGCTTCCCATTTATCACATAAAAATTTCCCAAGGAGAGAAAGATTCTGAATATAATACAGATAGTCGTCAACTTACGACCACAATTGTGTCCAAAATTTATGTTGCTAAGTAAGACAGTTGCTGGGTGAATTTTGCCTCATTTCACCATCTTTCTTGCCACAATTGTTAGGTGAATCACTGCAGTTGCTAAGTTAGTAATACAGTTGTTACATGAATCTGACTTCCCAATTGACTTTGCTTGTCAGCAATTCGCGAAAGATGACCACATGACCCCAGGACACTGCAACCATCATGAGTCAGTTGCTAAGCATCTGAATTTTTGATCCCATGACCACAGGAATGCTGCAATGGTTGTAAAGTGGGATAAACAGTCATAAGTCACTTTTTTCAATGCTGTTGTCACTAAACGAACTGTTGGAAGTCAAGGACTATGTATCTGTACTTAAGGATTGGAGGGGGCCTTATGTGGTCAGCCTTCAGATCACATTGCTCTTGTTTGGGATCACAAAATATTATTGGCCTCCACAGTATTGGCCAGATGTCTGTGAAGACATTCTCAATCATCCAGCTTATCGATGTCCCAAAAATGCTTTTCCAAAAGGGAACAGGATTTTCTTGTTTTTTACCTTGAAAATGTTTCGCTTCTCTTTTGAAAATGGAGATAAAAATAAAACCAGAACTTTTCCCTTTGGGCCTAATGGAAAAAAAACTGGAGAAAATTTTTGAACTTTCTGCATGCGTTGAAAAAGGAACATTTTGAAGCCTTTTGTGTCTGCAAAGGTAAGTGGAAGAGCGGGGGGTGGATCTGCTTTGCCACATGATTTAGATTAGTTAGAAAGCAGGAAATCTGACGATTCTAGCTAATATAAATTGTGCGTCACAGCTGATCGTCGCCCAGCTGATCAGAGGAAATACTGGTTTGCCCAAACTGGTAGCATTTTTTTTACTACTGGTTCGGGTGAACCGGTCTGAACTGGTAGCATTTAACCCCTGCTACTATGGATGTAAGGTTGCAGAAGTTGATGGGAGTTGGCCAAAATGGCAAAATTGACTATTTTGATTAAAGAAAAGAACATAAGTACTTTTGTTTGGAGACCACTTCTGAACTTCATGCTTGAAGTGGAAAAGAATAAAATTTTAATTTTGGGTTTTACCGAGTAGATTGATAGAACTTTACAGAAATGGCTTGTTCATTTTATTATGAAAAAGCAAAAAGTTGTGATTTGATGCTAATGCCTTATTTTAGTGCAACAGAGAGAATTGGAAGGAAATGCTTTTTTTTTCTTTTTCGTA